GTTTGGGCATTCGGGGCGGGGCCTGGCTAGGCCGAGCGGGGCGGGCCTTGGCTGCAGAGCCCGGTCTCCCGATGCGAGGCTGGCTGCCCAGTTCCCTCCTGGGAGCGGGCCCACCGGTCCCGCCCTTTCTGAGCCCCTCCTGGAGTGGGACGAGAGATCAGATGATCCCCAGCGGGGATCTAATTGGCTTCTCTGACAAGGAGGGCTTGGCTCGTGACTGAACAAAGCCCGTAGTTTGCCGGGCGGCCTGCCCGGTTGACACCTCCTGTAGTCCGGGCCAGTCCCCAGGCCTATAAGGTGGGCGTCTGCGCACCCGCAGTACTGTGGACACGAACCTGCTGCACCTGAGTAGGGACCTCGGCCCCTCCTGGCGGTAGTAGGAAGCCTTAGGTGACTCTGGATGCCCGGGGTTAAAGGTGGCAAGAACAAGCAGAGGGACAACAAATGCACGGTGTGATGACTTTGAGACTCAAATCTGAAATCGGCCAACTTAAGACACACACACACACACACACACACACACACACACACACACACGCTCCACGTCCTGAGGCCGCTTCATGCCTCCCAACATGCAGAGTTTCTCCTGGTGCTAGGTTAGTGCTGACTTGTGATGAAAGTTCTTTAAGAATACGAACAACAGAAGTGAATTATCCTAAATGAAGACCAGTCTTTGGTGTACGACCTTTAAATTTAAAAAGTGCAATACACCCAAACCCATTAAACTGTAAGACAGACCAACAGATGCATTTAGAGAGTCAAAGTCCCCAAGTTCCTCAGGTGCGTTCCAAATCCTACATACACACACTAATTCACAGTGGCTTAAAGTTCTTTCTAATGAGAAAACGGGGTGGGGGGGGGGGATACTTTCCCAGTGGCCGAGACCAGGTTACTACAATGCAAGCAGTCTGCAGCTTTGTCGACAGAAGATGGTTTGGCTCCTATATGCTGGGTTAGTTCCTTTAAATGTGACAGCGGCGAGTTTAATACTCTCAATGGAAATATTTATAGATTTGATTACAGGGTACTGGATTGTTAATGTAGGAAGGGATTTGAGGCTTTTGGTTCTCTTTCAGATACTTGGTAACAGGAAGAGAAACATTTGTACAAAAATCCCACGCGGTCAGTTTTATAAGGAGATTTTAAGATCTTCTCACTGTGCTAGTATCATACACGATGTTTCATAAACTGTTGCCTTCCTTTGAAAATTTTTACTTGCGATTTTCAAAATAAAGCCAGCCGGTGATCATGCTGCCTGAAATTAGCTAACAGTTAATGACAGCCGCTGGTTTACACAGAACAGGTAATGAAGGTTCCTGAGTGTCTTCCTACTCCACAATAAACAAACTCTGTCTTCAGAAATGATAGCAGGGACAGAAAGAAAGAGGCAGGGAAGGAAGGGTTAAGAACGTCTCAGGCTTCTGCGCTCTCCCTAATGCAAAGATGTTCCTATTGCTCAGAAGGAGACTGCAGGCAGGCAAGGAGCTTGTCCTCTTCATCTGTGGTGGGGAGCACAGGGGAATCATTCATGAACAGAACCTTAAATCTAAGTTACAACAGGCAGAGCAATTGTGTTTACCTTATTTGTGTAGCTCTGGGATGGAGCTCAGGACCTTCTGCTTGCTAAGCAAGCCCCCAAGGATGGAACCACAGCCCAGGCAGAACAATGACTTTAGTTAGATGCCTAGATATTCACTTAAGAGTTAAAAATCTAACAAGTATAGCAAACACACACACACACACACACACACACACACACACACACACACCACATGCACACACAATTCACTTTTAGGCTTCATTCTTGTCTCCGGTAGTTTTCAAAATGTGCCCTAGCAAACATCTCGTTAAGTGCATTCATGATTAGACAAAGTACAATAAATTGATAAACCCGTATTTCTTTCCAGATACAGTTTAAATCAGGTTTGTCATGAGATTTCTCTCAAAAGGAAAATGGGTGCTTCAGAAAATAAGATGAAGAATCCCTCTGTCCTTTGGAGCTTCGTCCCCTAACGAATGTGACAGATACACCTGATGCTGGCATGGAATGAAGGGGCACAATTAAGATAAGGTTGGGGGGAGGGGACGGTAGGAGGAACCACATCCTGTTCTCCGTGGCATTTGTGAATGGTTATAATTCATGTTTGCTGGTTTATACATTTACATAACCTGTTCTCTCTCATTTATGTAACTTATTTATGTAAGAGGCTGTGCTTCCACTGTGGCCTTTGTATGCGGCACAGCTTCCCGGGGAATCAGGAAGCCTGAACACAGGAACCACTGGCTTTGCAATAGGTCATTCCTCTGTCTTTCTGTACCACCCAAAAGGGTATGCCCCTCGATGCAACTGCCTCTTTAGCTCAAAGGAGAGAGACATTAGTGGCTTCATTCATTTTCTAAAACCTAGCCTTTGGTCTCTGACTCATCCAGCAGGCTGTGGTGAGAAAGGGGGAGCCCTGCAAGCCAGCGTCTGGGCAGGAGGCGTCTGATGGCTTCGAGAGCTCGTTCCTTTCTTCCCTTGAGCATTACTGACTTTTCTCATTCTTTGCTAACGAAGTAGTAAAGTCAGAAGATTTGTATTTCATTTCAGGTTTTTTTTTTTTTAGTGTTGTCTTCTAAAATAGACCAGTTATGTAAGAGAGTCAGAAGAAAAGCGTATCTGTTTCCTAATTTGGAAAATGCTTATCACCATCATTCCATACTTATCCCTCCTGCCCACTGCCGCACCCCAAGACTTTTCCTGATATAGTTAGAATGTTAAGAATAACATCGACACAATGGTTTTCTTGCACACAATTCAGCAGAAGGGCATTTGAACCTCCTGTTTGCACAGTCAATGAATTTACCATTTGTTTTTCACATTGTCATTAAAAAGGAAGACAGTCGATTTTAAACTTAAAAAAGCATGGGTTGGGGGTGGTATAACACAGAGGAAAAATATATACTAAGACAGTCCTGGGTTCAATTTTACACATATATACATTCATCATATATACATACCTACACTAACTACACACATACATACATTCATACACACACACACACACTCACACACAGAGTCCATCTCCTGGTTCAGGTTAATGACATTCTAGCAGTTAGAATCTAGCTAATTCACCGAAAACTCAACCACAAAGTTTCATATAATCAGCCCATATCCCATAGTGTTTCTATAGGTGAAACACCTATCCAAAACCCAACTTCTTCTAAGTCTCATTCATTATATATATGTAAGCAGAACCGAGAGACCTCTGTCTTGCCCAAAGTCCTCTAGGGAAGGGAATCCAGACCCCTTAGTGCTGACTAGCTTCCCTGGCTCCCATGTGCCATCTGCACAGAGGACAAACTAAAAGTGACTCTGAGTTGTCTTCCACCCCTGGAGCCTTGCTGGAGAGGCATGTGAAAGCAATGGCAGGGGGAACAGAGTTTCCCAAGCTCAGGAACACAGCAGCATGACACCTGATGCGAACGGAACAGAAGGGAATGGCTGGAAGGGAGGGGACCGTATTTTGCGAGCTGTATGTTATTACTGCACACTCAGCTCTGCTCAGAGCAGGTGGGATGAGCCTTGGGGACATGAGCGTTATGCAGCCACTGGCCAGGGATCCCCTAACCCCAACACGGCTGCTTGCCCCCACCACAAATCTGGGAGAGGCTGGAGAAAAGCCTGGGGGGAGGGGGCCCTGTTATGTAACAGGCATTTGTAAGGAAGTTTATATAAGATGCTAAAAATACAGTATATGATCGCTGTGATGATGTTCTAAGCAAAAGCCCTAATGAGGACAACCTGAGCAGGTTAAATAGAGGTGATCCTGAGCAGACGTCGAAACCCGGTGACTTGCGGTGGCAACTGTCTGAGGACCGTTTTACCACTCCGGCTGAAAGTGGTCCTGTCTGAGGACCACTTTCCCACACAAACTAAAATGCTTGTTATCCCTGTGAGGAGCACTTGCTCTAACTCTTCCAAAGACTCTGGGAGCACTAGGCATGTAATCGCTACTCTATTTCATTATATTTAAATGGGTGTGTTGGGCTCTTACAAAGAAATAAGCCCAGTGATGAACCTCATATGCTTGTTAAATTCTAAGAACTACTACCCATGGGTCCCCTGGTAATTGTCTGCCTCCTTAGTACCATTATCACCTGAACACACACATACACACACACACACACACACACACACACACCTTCTTAGGACCATCATCATCTGAACACACACCTCCTTATTACTATTATATGAACACAACTCTCTCTCTCTCTCTCTCTCTCTCTCTCTCTCTCTCTCTCTCTCACACACACACACACACACACACACACACACACACACACACACACTGCTCCCGAGAACACAAGCCCCTTGGGATCTGGGATTTCTGCCCACCTTTTCACTGATGAGTCTCCGGCATGAGTAAGGCATTGATAGGTAATTGTTGAACGAGCCCACCCACAAAAGGGAGACGTCATCTAATGGTCTGCGTCCCTGTTAACACTAAGAACCTATTTTTTGGCACAAACATACTGGAACACCTATTTTTCCCCTTTCTTCTGGATGTGTCTTGAAGGCATCTTCTTAAAATTTAGGTGGAGTATAGCCTTCTGTGTGATGGTGTGGGGAGTTTGGGAATCACTGGGATGTGACAGTAGGGCCTTCATAAGTGACAGAACTTTTATAAGCAGCCCAAGGGCTTGCTCAGTCTCTTTCTATTGCTAACTGCTAGTATTACTATTGTTGTTATTGCTCCAGTGCTGGAGATAGAAGAACACCTCCATTAACTATCCTACAAGTCTTATTGACTGACGAAAATTTCAATGGAGAGTTTAAATGTTGCAGATTTAAATCCAAATAATCGTGGGCTACTTTAAACCTGAGTAGCCATTTATTGCCCACTCCTGTATGTAACGTATCTCATAACGGTTAGGTAAGTCCTTTTGGAATGTACAGACCCCTAGCTTTCACCAACATAAAAGCTAAGGATGTCACCAGATAGCATCTGAGTCCTATAGTCGAGATCTCCTGTTTCCTGTAATCTGTCTATAAAATGTGTCCAGCTATGTGTTTTAAAAGTGCCCTTTATATAGCTTCCTTTGTTCTGGTACGGTAACTGTTTCATGAAACTCTTACCATGTTAGAACCTAGGATTTGAGGCAACCTGAGGATGTGTTCTCAGACCATGGTCACTCATATTTGGTAACAGAATCCGCCTTTTTATTCCCTTTGAGGCAGAAGCTGAGCTTTTTGCATTGACACTGTCATGTGGGAATGTTGGAAGAAACTGGCCGTCTGCAACTTGGAAGAGACTCGACCATGCAGGCATCACGACCGCAAACTCCCGGCATCCAGAACCCTGGTTCACAAGCTAGCTTGTCCCTGATACTTGGTCATAGTAGCTGAGTCAGACCCGGTCTCAGTGTTTCCCCTCTATCTCTTTCTCTCTCTCCATCTGGCCAGCCTGACAATCCCTAGACTCTACCTTCAGGATAAATCCTTAGTCAAGTCTTCCCTCTTAGCCCTGCCCTAGAGCTCCAATAAAGATCCTGGCCCACGACAATAGCATCTTTTGTCTTAAACTCAAAACAACCAATTTTGTCATGGTTTAGGTACACGACATTTTTTATCCCCAGAAGAAACATACATAAGGAAAGTTACAAGACATTTCTCATCCCCAGTAGAAACATATATAAAGAAAGTTATACTCAGAAAAAAAAAATATAAATAAAGTAAGCCTGAATAATTTGGGCAAAGGCTTTCACATTATTAATGGCATCGTTATCTTGAAATACTTTCTACATTCCTAAGACTGGTAGCATAAACTTCAAGATTTGAGATTTGTTGGGGTACCCATAGGGGTCACAATTGCTCAGAGTTTCCCAAACTCCTTCCTTTCTATTACTACCTACTCGTTTTCCAGAAATTCCTTTCCGTTCTCCCTTCAAGCTGCATTCAGAATGTCATTCTTTTTCATCTTCCCCTGTCTCTTCCCTGTCCCCAGTCTCCAGCACCTCTCACCCAGACTACTGCAAGAACCTTCCACCCAGCCCCAGCCTCTGGCCTTCCACCGCTTCCTTCTCCGCTAGCAAGGCAGCTGGAAGTGTCTGAACCAAGATGACATTCCTTAGAACACAACCTCTGTTTCCTACTCAGAAGAAAACGCCAAGCCATGACTGTGCCCCAAAGTCAGCCCTTGATCTGCTCCCCCCTCCTGATGTCTCTGGCCTCATCTGCTGCTGGTCTTCCCATCCTTCATATCTCTCAAGGCCTGTATAGGGTTTTTTTTTTTTGGTCTCCCTCGCCTGGGATATTCTGTAGACACCCTCAGAGTTACACCACTCTCTTTGTATTGGCTTTGACACAGATGCCACCTCCTCTGGTGACTTCCTTGCCCCATTATATCCCTTATTTTATCTTTAATAACTCTCCCCAAGTTACTGTATACTTTTATCTTATTTGCTTCACCCAAAGAATACACATTCTACTGAGGATTTTATCTGCGTCTCTCTCTACTCTCTATTGGGTGCCTAAAACACAGAACAGGGTATTGATGACAAGTTGAATAAGAGGGTGTGTACTTGTAATCCAATTGCTCCTGAGGCCGAGACAAGGGGACCATGAGTCTGAGGACAGCCTGAACTACGTCTTCAGAGCTGCCCAGATTTTTTTTTTAAGTTGAAAACTTGAAAAAGGAACTCCGAGACTACATAGAGAAATGTGTTTGCTTGCCCATTCAGTTTTTTTCTCATGGAAGCTGAGGATGTGGTCACGACGAGAAAGAAGATGGATGAGAACAGAGGCAAGGATGTGCCAGGACGCACGAGACAGTAACTGTATTCAAGAGACACAGGTAGAAATAAAGTTTCCTTATCAGCCTGCTTGAAAAGGAGTCATTAGCCTTGGTGATAGTCACTGAGTAAATGTCCTCTGGAAAGTTCCCGAATGTCTGGGGAGATGCCCTTGGTGCTGCCTTCATTCCACACGGTCTTGTTTCTTGCACACATTCCCAAGATTGTACAGCCTGACTGGGCTGCCTCCCTTGGATGACTAAGCATGTAGGACACTTTTCGCTGGCATATTCTCAGTTTCCTCACAATTACTTTTTAAAAAACCTGGCCTATTGGACACATCATGAAATATTTAGGGTTGCAATGTATAAACTACTGAGTGAAATGGAGAGAGTGCCTGTTTATATGTTTTGCCTAGAAGATTAAATGGAGTAGGTCAAAGGGCTTGGGAGACTTTGATGGGGGAGAAGATCAAGCATACAAAGTATGAAGGCCCCCGGTGACCTGGTTAGCCCAAGTCATCTGCATCCCAAGACGGTCCACAAATTCACTGCTCAGATGAGAGAGGTGATTGATGACTTCACAAGGTAGAAGAGTCCATGTGTTAGTCAACTTTCATCGTTACAGCAATTGGAGATCCCAGCCCATCATACGTTAGGAAGCTATCATGGTGGGGGGTAGGGCAGAGCAATGGCTCCCCTCATGCCCATAAAGCAAGATGGAGGAGGTGGGGCAAGGGAGTTGGAATTTCCTTCAAAGACATACCCTCAACAACCTGAAGATATTCTATTAGGTCCTACCTTTTGAATGTTCGTCTACTTACCAATCTTGGAAGCAAGGTTTTCCATGGTCTTTTCTAAGTACATTCAAGACTAAGTTATAGCAGTTTGTAGTCAGGGGATGAAAATGTACAGATCAGAGTCAAGACAAGGATTTAATGCTGGAACACGCAGCTGAAACAGTACTTGAGAAAGTCAGAAGAGACAAGAATCAAGATAAGGGCTACAGCCTGTAGAGGAACATACCAGATAACTCGCGTCAGCGTATGCTTTAGGCCACGCTGTTTCAAGAGCCTTGGACAAAAGAAGGTTGTGTCTCTTTCCCTATTCAGAAGTAGTTAAAGAGAATCCTCTTAAATGTAAATGACATTAAGGAACACAAAGAGCTCTTTCTTCTAGCATGGAAACCAAATGTCTCAGTCTGCTCCTGCTGCTATAACAAAAATATTTTTTTTAAAAAAACATAAATACCTTGCTCATATTATAGAAGCTGGGAAATCCAAAATCAAAGTCCCTAAAGATTTGATGTCTGATTCTGCTATACCCACCGGTCAGTGTCCCACTCAGCCATCATCAGAAGAGCTCCCTCCTGCAGGAAATGAGAACTAAAAGAGAGACCCAGCACAGGACGGCATGCAGAATGATCTTGGAACACTCAGACTTAATGGAGATGTCTCCACCAAACTCTTCCCCTTACGTACCATGCTGAAGAGAAGACAGGAAGATTCTAAGAGCCAGAGAGGGTGAAGGACACCAAGGAAACAGAGTCTTCTGGATGCGGCAGGATTGATGCACACATCAACTCACAGAGACCAAGTCAGCACGTGCAGGGTCTACTCAGCTGCAAACCAGATGTGGTCCCAGCACTGAGTGGGGGAGTGAGGGGGGCACTGGACATAAGCTCCCACCCCTGACCCAGTAATCTCTAGCTGATCACTGCTCACAAAGGAAACTTAAGTTTTCTCCAAGTCTTACTGCGTATCCAAACCACAATTAAGAGAGGCCACATGCCCAGCCGCAGATGGCAAACACAAAGTGAGCTCACTGGTATTTTAGAGATGTTTTGTCTCGTAGTGTGTTGTGCACTTTTTAAAAACCTTATTTGCCTTTCAGTTATCTTTTCTGGTTTCTGGTTTCCTCTTCTCTCTCTGTCTCTCTTTGTTTTTTTTCCTCTGTCTGATTTGTTTTCTTCTGGTTTGTTTGCTTTTTCCATTCTTCTGTTTGTTTTCTGAACAGAGGAAGAGGGAGTTGGATGGGAAAGGAGGTAGGGAGGATCTGGGAGGAGATGAGGGAGAGGAACCGTAATCAGAATATACCATATTATAATTTTTCAATAATAATAATAATAATAATAATAATAATAAACCAATTTGCTGTTTGATGAGGGCCATCCAGTCAATAGATGACATCTTGCTGTTGTGTCCCCTCGTGACCATGGGAAGAAGGAGCTCTACAGAAGACCAGTTTACACTTGCAATATCTCTGGCATGCTCTTGTTCTCGGATACTTGCTCTCATTTGGCTTTGGTGGAGCATTTATGTAGTCACACCTGGGTGGCAGAAGTAGGTCACTCAGGAAGCCTAGGAGGTCGTATCCACTTCTGCTATTAGCCCGCTTGCCCTGTCTCTGGTCCCGCTTCCACGTGACTGGCTCCTTTTGCCCTGGACTCCTGCCACCACTGGTTCCTGCCACTGTGGGTTGACCTGCTCATCTGCCATGCCTTCTCCTCTGGGCCCAGTGACACCATAGAGGAAAGGACGCGTTTTCACACTTAAGTTGCGTTTGTCACAGGGACGTGCAAACTAACCAACGTAAACACCAGAGTCACACAAGGGCTTCACTGCCATGATCTAAGTTCCTCCTAAGAGCCCCACCCGAGTAAGGTGCAACACCAGAGTTTGGGGAAGGTACTGACACTTATACCATAGTGTCTGAGGTTGCTTGCTGCTGCTGTAACAAACACAAACAAAAGCAACTTGGGGAGGAAAGGGTTTATTTCAGTTTATGATTCCAAATAATACTCTATTCACGAGGGAAGTTGGAGCAGGAACCTCAAGACATACTCTGGAGGCAGGAACTAAAGCAGAGACTCTCTCTCTCTCTCTCTCTCTCTCTCTCTCTCTCTCTCTCTCTCTCTCATATGTGTGTTTATGTTGCTTACTGATTGGTTCCCAGGTCTATGCCAAGCTAGGTTTTTTAATACATCCCAGACCCACCAGCCTAGGAATGGTGCTGTTCACTGTGGGCTGGGCCCTCCCAGGTCAATCATCAATTAAGACAACAGAGAGGCCCACAGACTGATCGAGGTAACGCTTCAATTATAGCTTTACCTTCCCAGTTGACTCTAGATTGTGTTGCGTGGCTATTGAAGCTAAATGGGGCACATATCCCAAAACTGAATAAGATGTACTATTTGGTTTTGAACCAGCCTAAGAATGATGGATACAATGAAACACTGCAAAGAAAAGCAAAACTGTAATAAAACTAAAGCTAGACAAGAAGACAATGGTGGATTTCTGTCATGAATCCTTCAGCCTTCCTCTCAATGAGCACACAACACACTAGGTGAGATGGTCCACGGATGGATGTCGTCTGTGATTTCTATATTCTTATGCCTCAACTTAACTTCATCAGCTTCTATGAAACCAAGCAGAAGCACACACATTAAATGAATAAAATGTCTTACAGCCAGAATGGCTTTGACCAGAGAAGTCTGATGGCAATATGAAAGACAGGAATGCATCCCAGCTCGTGTGTCAGCTTGTAAAGAACCTTCCCGGTCTCACATGACTAGTGCATGTGAGCTCCCAGAATTCTGGTCGCTAATCTTTGTGAAAGTTCCAGACCAGTGAACCAGATCCTTATTTTTTAGAAGACAACACTTCTAATCTAGTTGTGGGAAATGGAGGCCTTTTGGGAGCAAATTCAGTCCCAGGCTAGCTTTGACTCAAGCGCCTTTGACTCTTAGCAGAGTCATGAAGTTCACCTGCCCCTGTTTTATCATTGTTTGCTATCTTATCAACACAAGCGTCACCCACAGAAGACGCTTTCCAGATTTAGATAGAACCTCTCCGCAGCTTGGTACATTCGAAGTAACCAAACAGCTACATGTTTATTTTCCCCTCCATTTGATCTAGCCAAGTTATCTGGCTCCAAATATA